TGAAATTAACTTTCACCTACAACGAAAAGAAGGACGAACACTTCCTATTGTGGATTGTCGAAATCCAGACATGTTCTACCTCTCCTGTCGTCGAAGATAGTCAAGTCACTTTCTCCACCTCTTGTCTTGGAGAAGTCGTGAAGGAGTGGGTCCTGTCTGAGGCCAATGCCGTTGGTTTTGAGGACATCGATGAGTGGGCTAGGACAATGACACTTCGAGAATTTCTTCAAAAAATTAAGGAGAGATTCTTGGACAAGACGATAGTCGGCGAGGCCTTTGACGAGCTCACCACCATTGGACAAAAGCGATGGTCCAGCGTTGAGTCTTGTCACGAGAGGTTAATCTTCTTTTTGCAGGTACGACTGAACCTCCCGGGCAACCAGGTACTCTACATCTTCTCACGGGCACTACCAGGACCAATATGTGGACAACTTGTAGCGAGCCAAATCCGGTAAATATAACTATCGGCAATTCCGGGATCTTGCCCTGCAGAGGGAGCAAAGTACATGAAAATGGAAGGGAAACAGTCAGTAGTCTTGCCAAACTGATGGAGAGCCGTGTTCTTCGCTGCCTGTAAGGGTTGGTTTCCCTCCCTAACTACTATAGGACCTCCGTGTTGCAACCTAAAAAGTTCAAATTGACAGCAAGTAACATTAACTCAATTGACATTAACATAATAAGGATATTCTTTCTATTTAAAAAGATTCCCCAAATACCTAAAAGAAAAAKAATCATTGAAAATGTTAAATATTTCACTAAATCCATAATCCGATATTTGTATTTATCCCCATTATCCCCGATAGTCGGAATCGTAATTAGTACGAGTAAGCTTCACACTTCACAGTGCTTTTACTTCTCGCCTATTCAAGTGATGGTCTTTCACTTTGTATGATAACTTTTTTCAAGAATAACATCGCAGGTTAAAGGAACATTCGCTAACGTTGAAAGGGGAGGGCAATCTAGAGGGAACGGAAAACGGGTTCTTTGGAGGCAGAAACCACAAGACCACAAACTTGTCGTTTTTTATGATGAGACCACAAAAAGGTGGCCCCTCGAAGAAAGCGAGGGTGGAACTAGTGGTGGCGGTGAGTCGAGAAAGGGTGACGTCACCGCCATGGTGGCCAACAAGGGAGGCACCAATAATGGAGGATTTAGGAAGAAGAGGCCACACTCCTTCCCAACACATCTTGACATCGCGTGTGGCAGGCCTTGAGAGAAAATGGGCCTTACCCAGAAGGAATGGCAGGAAAGGATGACGTTTTTTATGATGAGACCACAAAAAGGTGGCCCCTCGAAGAAAGCGAGGGTGGAACTAGTGGTGGCGGTGAGTCAAGAAAGGGTGGTGTCACCGCCATGGTGGCCAACAAGGGAGGCACCAATAATGGAGGATTTAGGAAGAAGAGGCCACACTCCTTCCCAACACATCTTGACATCGCGGGCAGGCCTTGGGAGAAAATGGGCCTTACCCAGAAGGAATGCCTGAAGTGTGGCACTGACGAGCACATCATTGCATGGTGTCGTCTCATCCGGAACCAAAAGGGAGCAGCCAGTAGGGGTAGCATTTGCTCCTACACAGTTAGAGGGTGTAGGTAAGTTGGCGCCACAAACCCCTTTCAAACCTCCAGCTCGCATGGCAGAGGATGGCTCTTCTTCGGCTCATCACCCAGACCACCCTGAAAAAGTTTTGTGTTCTATGAACTTCTATCTCTCTGGGTGATTCCCTTGATGAACTTGGAATGTGAATTGATGGGTTAAGAAAGCGAAAAGTAAGGGTGAACTAATGATCGTAGATCTTGAGATTGCTGAAACACGAGTAGGTGCTTTGTTGGATCCTGGGCTACGCGGTCTTACATCTTTGAAAAGGCAATTCGCAAGTTGCAAAGGGGTGCGAGTGCAGGACCTACCAAGACCTATCACTTCTTTGTTAGCTGATCAAAGCACTGTTACTGTCTCTCAATACGTCGATCGCGTAAAGTGTTATTTTATAACAAAGGATGGTAAGAGAATATTACATGAAGTAACCTTCCTAGTTGAGAAAAACTTACCGTTTGAATTGATCCTGGGTATGGATTGGCATAAGGAAGCCGACCCAAAAGTCAAGTTTAAAGATAAAATTGTCAAATTAAAGGATGAAAAATCCGAAATAAGATCAATTAAGTTGTTTCACAAGTCTGGTTCTGACTCATCACTATCGTTTTGTTGTATGAGTCTTCCCGCTTTCTGAAGCATGGTCACGAAAAAGAAGTTGGCACAAGGTTGTTCCTACATTGACCTCTGGTATCCTGTGAATGAGGCTATCACTTCCATCACGAAGAGGAAGATTGGGGGAGCTAGTGGGTCCCCTTGGCGAATTGACCGAGAGATTTGATAGCAGTCCAAGAGCAAGCCACTGACTTGGACACAGCCTATGGCGTCATTATATAGAATGTGCAACCACTTCCTAAAATTCAGGCCCGCTCCCATCTTTTCCATGCGTGCATTGAGAAAGACCCAGTTCACCTTGTCGTAGGCCTTTTCAAAATCGAAAAAAAGAATTGTTGTGTTTAGCCTTTTGTCTCTGACTTTGTTGGCCGCTTCATTGAGGGTCAGTACGTTGTCCAGGGTGTATCTCCCAGGGATGAAGGCTGATTGGTATGTATGAAAGCATTTGTCTGTCAGGTTCAGAATTCGAAAGATAAGAGCTTTGGCTAGCTTTGAGCAGGTTTTCATGTTTTCTGTTGCATTGGCCTTTGAATTTGCTTTGATTCCTGCAAAGAAGTGTTTTGACATTGACTCACGTAGCTCGTATTAATTCATTCTAGCTCTTATTTGTAGTCCCCTTAGTTCCCACCATCTCCAGATAGTGAGTTTGTCTCTTGCCTTTTCGAAAATATGTGTAAAGTGCAGAAGAGGGGTTATCAATCAGATTTGTCTCCGCGATCTTCAGGGCTGTCTCCGACGCTTGCTTCCTTTGTTTCTCGTCGGTCGCTAATTTCCTTGAGATTCTAGCAACCGTCTGTGATAATGTGGAGTAGCTTTCCTGAAACCACTCCATCGATCCTGTGTGGGTAGGTAGGCACCCTCAAATTCTACCAACACTCCTGAACTCCTACTTGAAAAGTCTGGCTCAGTAGGAGGGAGTTGTTGAGTTTGTGAAAGCTAGACCACTTTTTTCTTTTACTATCTGTCTCTTACCAATTCCTGCCACGCAGTTTTTTTTTTTTTTTTTTTTTTTTTTTTTTTTTTTTTTTTTTTTTTTTTTAAATCTAATTCGTGGGGAGCAACATGTTATGGGAACTGGGCCCAACATCCCTATGAAAGTACAAAGAACAATTTTTGAAGCAACGGGGCCTTTACCCAGCTTCACTAAGAAAACTCAAGAAAATTCAGGAAATTCATGGACAATCTGCTAAGCTATGCTGAAGATCTGAAAACCCCTTGAACTACCTCACAATTCCGAAACCACTTTGCAGATAAAACTTCATAAAAGGAATGCCGGAACAACCTTAATATTGCCCACTAACTCCACAGCTAAGAGAAACGGAGAGAAACGACCTCTTCCACCACCGAAGGAGCCTAACCACTTGCCACTATCTGCCTCCGCTAAGGGTCAATGCTCTCCATCAACCTCGGCCCCAGAATAGCGCAACCCTCACCAACTGCCCTTACCCCCCCAGGCACAATACTTCCCTCCCCAATGCTGCCCCTGCAGGGCAGGGCTCCCTCCCATACCGGCAACTAAAGAACAATTGCAAAATAAGAGAGCTTCACCATACTGCCACTGAAATCGCCCCCTTCCCCTAAGAGGAAAAAGACTTTCCGTCTGTCTTCAAACTGCCCCCATTGAGAGGAGCCCCCTTCTCCCCATCGACCCCAGGTCTGGACAAGCCCCCTAACGGTCACCGCCACAGCATCAAAGGCATACAGTTCCCACCAAAAGTGTTCCCCCGTGGCACAGTAGTTCCTCCATTCCCTCCATCCCAGTCTCTCCAAGTGAGACAGCCCACTTAACACCACGCCCCGCTGAAAACAGTGCCACTTGACTCTATCTGTCTCTGCCAGGGATGATCTACACCCAAAGAAACAGCGCCAGATCCAGAATAGAGCAACCCTTGTGCCCGCCCCTACCTGTCAAAGACCTACACTCCAGCCTTGTGTAGTCTTTGCAAAATAGGGCTCCTGTCCTCTGGGCCAAGAGCCCCAACCCTGAGGGAGGTGATCCTAACAGAACAGTAAGCTTGAAACCCCCATCAAGATGCAGACAGACTATCTAGTCAAAATGATTCCAAACAGTTGGCCTAAGAGACCAATCAGAACCTTCGCCGATGCAGTCGGGTCCACCAAAAGACTGGATCTCCCTACCAGGCCTCTTGCCCCCAACATGCTGGGTCACAGGGTAGTGCCACCTTGGCTCGGCTCCGGCCAGCAAATCTCTAGCCTCAGCCCACTGTTAGCCACTAGGTCTCTCCACCAACCCTCATGCCCCCAACAAGCTCGGTTACAGGGGAGCGCGACCTTGCCCAGCGTCGCTCTGGCATCGGCCAATCGTGAGCCACTGGATTTGACTTCCTCAGCCGGGCTGCAGATGACCTCCGGGTATATCCCACTTTTGACCATATGCCACCCAAAATACGCAGGGTAGGGACACTTGGGAAGGGAAATTTATCAATATCTCTCGCCCAAACCCCCCCGCGTAATCTGATGATTAAGAAATTTCCATGTGATTTGGCTGCCCCCCCACCCTATCTACTGGAACTACCTACTAAGGAATGCAACACGGATATGCAGAGGTTGAATACGAGAGATTTTGGGATTTCATGATTGAAATTAGGCTTACAGAATTGGATGTTAGTGCTCAGAAATTAGCTTGATGATATGAATGAACAGAGACTACGACATGTTACACCAGGTAGTTATATTCATTTATGCAATGATTTGTATCAGCCTTCTGTTTTACTACTTAAGGCGCCAAACCACGAATGTGGATGTTTCTGACGAACTGGCTGGTGCGGTTGTATCAGATTGCGGACAAGGTGGCTGAAGGGATGGTTCTGAAGCAGCTGTTTAAGGCGCCAGCAGTGGATTCCATAAGGCATATTGATTTGGCAAAGAGCGTTTTGGAGTCCTGGAGTGAGGTGTACCTGAATGTCAGGGAGAGGATTGAGAACAGTGGTCGAGATGCGCGATGGGAGTTTGATCGGAAGCGACTCTTTGAGCGCACCAGCTACATGGCCACCATATGCGGTGATCTTCGGCACATTGTAGAGGTTGTCGACGACTTCCATAAGTTTCTGGGCCCAGAGCTGAAGGCAGTTACTGGCGATGCCCAAGGCATCGACGATGTCACTCAGGTAGGTAGAGAGGGCCCTCTGCAAGGCTCAGGTAACTTGTCAGGGTAGCTTCTGAGTTCCGGGATAATCTCAGCCATCGTCACAAGTGTTTGACTTGTTCTTGCCCGAGTATTAGATGCTCGGCACTGATATCTGGCAGTGTTTTTCTTTTCTTTTTCGCACTAGCTACCTACATACCTCACACTATCTACCCACAAGTCTAGCATGGCAGCACTCCCATCTATGCAGCGAAGGGCTCGAAGCAGCACAGTATCAAGCTACCTACATATCGACCCAAGCGGACTGAGGGAAGGGGTAAATCTACTAGCATGGGCTGAGTCTATCCCCTCAGGGTTGAGTCTAACCCCTAGCAATGGATGGAAGGGATGAGCACAAAGCCCTACAAAGCTCAACCAGGGGCGGCAAGCCAACTATCTCAGCTGTTTCTTTCTTTCTTTCTTTTTGTCGGCATGGGTTTCTCACTCGTTCCTGATGTCTTGGTTACAGACCGATAGCTCATGTGCAGGTGGCATGCATCAAGTGTCAGGCTGTTCGGCTGAGTCCAGGAGGTGGGTGACTTCAGGCTCTTCAGTGAGGCGAATAAGCTTTGGGGGCGCATTGACCTCCAGTGTGGAGTGATAACCCCTCTTAAACCACCAGTCAATTCAAAGCTAAATCGACAAACCAAAAGTTGCATTTTTCCGAGCCTAGAATCTACAGTGCCAGCCTTTCAAAAAAATCTACAGTTGCCCCTTTCCACTGACCCTGTACCTGGCCTGGGCTCTGTAGATTTTGGCCCGGCACTAGTGTACGAGCAAAATCTTCAGTGCCGCCTGTCGATGGACTGGTAGTTTAAACCACCACTACCTTGGAGGCCTCTTTTCTCCCAAAGTAGTGACTACAACAGACTCGGATTTAGCTGTGCTGGACTGCCGAAAACTGGTATGGTACCTGAACTTGTTAGGATGGGTAGCTCTACAGCTTCAAGCAAACAGCCGAAGGTGAGAAGGTGTAGAGACTGCATGCACCCCCTGACAACCCCTCCACGGCTGGGCAGGCCTCTTGAGCTATTACAGGGTGGTGGCCTGGGCATCTGCTCGGAAGAGCAACCATGACACGCAAAATGGGGCATATCATACCCACGCACCACTGCCAAGGCATTGTTCTTGGTCGTCAGATTCAGGTCCTCAGGAACCTGCATTTATAATCTAACGTTCGTAAGCGATACCTCAAAAAACCGACATTCAAAATCTAAACTTGCTAGACCGACACAACCGTCAAATTTCACAGCTCTCTCTCTCAGCAGCTACATCGTGCCGCTCTGGAAACATGATGTATGGGAGATGTTTGGCCTCTATGATCATGACCAGGAGGACGGGCATAAGGCGTCTTTCTGATCACTGGACGCTTGCAGACCTGATTTCATCTGGTGAGGTGGTGAGCTGCAGTAGAGAAGAAACTCAGGTTCAGGCCCCACTTTTCGGTTACGTCTTCTGTATTCGGTTAGCCTTCTCTGTTGCTATGTCTGAAGACTCTGAACTAGATTCGCTCGGATCCTTTTACGCCCACGGGCCACAAGGTGTCTTTCTGGTCACTGGACGCTTGCAGACCTGATTCATGGGGTGAGGTGGTGAGCTGCAGTGGAGAAGAAACTCAGGTTCAGGCCCAGGTTTTCTGTTACTTTACCATTATTATTTTAGCCTTCTTCGTTGCTATGTCTGAAGACTCTGAACTAAATTCGCTCGGAGCCGGGCTGCTTTTTCAGTCAGATCAGTTTGTACTTAGCACGGACCTAGCACCACAGGTGAGCCTTGAGCCTTCTGTCTCAGACGTGGGAAGCTGCAGTTGCGGAGCAGCTTACTGTGACACCCCATTCCGACTGGTGCTATGTTTGTGCGAAGCTGGCTTCAATCTGGGCCCCTTTCACACCCACATGCATGTGTACTTAGCATCGATATGAAAGCACCAGTGGGGCATGACATGGCACAGGTTGGCCCTCACCCTTCAGTTTCATTTCCCTGTATGTCTTTCTATTTTGTTAATTTCCTTCTACTAATTCGCATGGCGAAGTCATTGTATACTATTTTTTTGCTGAAGTTCTGAAGTCTGGACTTTACTCTATAAGACTGATAACCTTTTTTTTTTATCAGATATAAAACGGGTGATCTTAGCCAGAAGGCCAAGAAAGGTATACTGGTAGAGAACAATATTGATTTCTGGATGCAGTATGTTCTAGTCTTTTTTCTGTTTTTTTTGCTTGTTTTTCTGGTGCCTGGACTTTGCTCTATATGGACGATAACCTGATAGAGCACGATATTGGTTTCTGAATGCAGCGTGTTGCGGCCATGATTGAGCCCATAGCCAACTTGCCATTTGATGCATTCGACAAGCGGCACACACACGATTGGGCATCAGCTGTTGCACAGTTCAATACGGACAAAGAGCAGGTTGGTCTCTGTCCCACTTCTCCACCAACTCGATACAAGAATAGGCTACATGACATCTTGCCGCATTCCTTGCACCCTTTTTCCTACATGTCAATTTGTATTGCACCCAGGCTGGGCACTGTTGTTTCTCATGCTGACATGTTGTCGGCATGCCAGATAGACTCATGGGAGTGAGGGAAATTGTGGGGTAGCTACTACGTATTATGTCATGATCCATTGATGCTGTTTGCTGTGCCATCAAGCTCCTGTTGTTCCCTTCAGAGAACCAAAAAAAAAAAAAAAAAAAAAAAACCCTGAAAACGGTCCTGGGAGGGAAGAGGGTAGCTGGGTAAGTTGACGGTCAACCATTCAGAGGTCTGGAGCAATTAATGCAGACCAGGGGTCCTCCGAGCAGAAGGGTAGAAGTGCTGGTGGCTCATGGTTGTAGTACTTACTCTGGGGCGGCAATGGCTACAGGTGGAGGGTCTAGGGTTTAGGGTTTTAGTGACGCTTCAAAAGGGAGGCAGATAAAGTGGGATAAGGGGTGTCAGGAACTACGGGTGGGAGTACACAGGTCAACTGGGACATTGAGCGAGCTCTTTCTAGGGGGCTAAGAATGATTTGGCAGATCTGGCTTCCAGGTCTGAGAGGAAAGAGTGAGACATGGCAAGCTGGCAGTTAATCCTCCACCATGGTGGAGGAATCAATGCTGATCAGGGGTCCTTCGGCCAAACGGAAGGAAGCGTGAGTGATTCCAATGTAATGTATACTCTGACTTGCCGGTGGAATAGGAACCGGACTGACGCTCCCCAGAATAGAAGGAGCCAGGACCAAAGGCCCTGTAAAAAAAAAAAAAAAAAAAAAAAAAAAAAAAAAAAAAAAAAAAAAAAAAAAAAAAAAAAGATATGTCAAATGCACTGCTGATGTCAGGGTTTCACTTTGTGCTCATCTGGGACATTACAGAAAGCATGAACCTCCTTGCAGGATATGTGAGATCCTTTTTTCACTTTTTGCTAGTCTGGGACATACAGAAAGCATGAACCTCCTTGTTCAGCTGACTTTACAAAATCAATGACTTGCTGCTGGAAAAGGAACTGGACAGCTGCTCCCCAGAATAGGAGCGTTGTCTTCCCCCCCCCCCCCAAAAAAAAGTAAGGATACCGCGAATCTTAACTGAAATCACGAGCACATTGTGCTCCCATAGACCGGGATTGACTAAACAACAAAGCAATAACGGCGGTGGTCAGGTGAGTCTGATGCGCTGGCATGCGTTTGTGAGTCCGACTCCTTATAACTCGCCTTTTCGTCTCTCGCCAACCTTCTTTTTTTTTTTGTTTTTGTTCCCACAGTGTCTCTGAGTCTACAGAAGAAGACAAAAACATCTGAACACAACCACCATAGCCCATGAACTTTGCATAGGGCCGCACATCCATTGCAATAACTCAACGTAAAATATGCAATAGTCTTGAGGCACACGTTGACACTTGGGTCGAAGGGCCTTAACAGGGGCCAAAGGCCACACCCAAGTCATTGGGATTTGCCTGATATGAGGCCTGCTGCTGTGGGTACCTGAAGCACGGCCTAAACAGGGGTCTCAGAGGCCCTAAGTGCGACAGTTGACCGTGGAAAGTCAAAGGTCAACAGTAGCTTGGAAATTCAGAGTCAAGAGTCAAAGTCTGCACGGTCCCAGCCCGGGCCACAGACCAGACACACACATTGGTTGTTTGCAGGTATCTGCCAAGAATCCAGTCCAAGTGAAACGGTTTTCACCTTTGCAGTAGCAGATGCAGATCCCAGGGCTCGATCCCTAGACCTTGTCCTCACCCGTGTACAGTACCAAGTCGACCCCTGTGTGTTTGAACCCGTGACCTGTGTCTTGGTTGTTGGCTGTTGCCTGTCGTAGGTCTGTGTAGTTGTCGGGTTTTGAACCCTAGGTCTGTCAAGTACAGGTCATAGCTCTGTAGAAGTCGTAGCTGCTACAGTCCTGAAAGGTCAAGGTCATAGCTGCTACAGTCCCGAAAGGTCAAGGTCGTAGCTGCTACAATCCCGAAAGGCAAAGTCTACACTCTTCCGGAAGGCCCAGAAATGGCCTTTCGAGAGTTGCCAGAGTCAGGCCAGAGGCAAGTGGGCGAGTGGGCAGTCCAACCTCGCCTAGTCAGCGGTACCCAGTCCCAGTCGCACCTTGTCCAGTCAGCAAGTACCATGTGGGACTGTGTGCACCCTAGGCCTGGTGAAAAGGAGCAGAGCAGCGACCAACCGAAGTATAAATCAAGAGGCAGCGTGCAGTTATTCATTCATTGACTGTGAGCCGTGCGGAAGCGCTGCCTGAGCAACTTGTGCAAGGAGGTCTGCAAGTGCCCGAGGGAGAAGAGGGCTGCGAGGGAGACGAAGCAGTCATAGCCGCTAGTTAGTGGTAGAGGTAGAATGCAGCCATAGCTGCTACAGGTTAGAGATAGGCTACAGCGTGTTTGTTTATGAGTGTGCAGCGAGTTGTGTGTGTGTGTGGGTCATCCAGGGAGATTCAGAGTAGCATGCGTGTGAACAGTTGCTGAGGATACAGCGTGGAAGGGTGTTGTGAGGCCGCACAGTCGCCATAGGCATTCGAAGCAAGTTGAATCTGAGCTGTGTTCTTGGCCACGATATCTCTGAGCTTTGTGTGGGCTCTCATCGCCAGTGTGATTGCCATCTGTTTCCACGCATGCTGAGTAAGAAAGAAGACGAGTCTGATTGCATTGGTATCAGAGCTGGTTCCCGCTGTTCCACCCCGCCATCATCGTCGTCATAGAAGAAGAAGGAGCCGCCATAGCTGCGCCACTGCAGGAGAGCGCCGCATACCTGTACAGACAACGGCGGCGAAGAAGAAGAAAAGAGAGAGAGAGAGAGAGAGAGAGAGAGAGAGAGAGAGAGAGAGAGAGGAGCGATAAAAGATTGGTGGTTGTGGCTCAAGGAAGAAGGTGGCAGCCATAGCCGCCGAGCTCGGACACGGAGGGGAAGACGAAGGAGGAGACTAGAAGTGAGCAAGAAGACAAAGTTGGGAGGAAGAAAGAAAGTGAAGGAGGAAAAAGAGACGAAGGAGGAAAAAGAACCCATAGCCGGGGGTGAAGGTGAAGAGACGAAGGAGGAGAGAGAAGTCATAGCCAAGGGTGAAGGTGAAGAGAGAAGAAGGAAGGTAAAGGTTGGCGAAGGAGAAGGGGTCGGAAGCCATAGCCGAGCTTACTGAAGTTGACCGGGGCGTTGACCGAGGTGTTGACCAGCGTTGACCGAGGCGTTGGCTAGCGTTGACCGAAGCGTTGACCATTGTTGACCAAGGTGGTTACCAGCGTTGACCGTAGTGTTGACCGGCATTGACCAAGGCCGTTGACAGAAGTTTGACCAAGCTGGAGTTGGTATAATTTCGCCAAGCCTTCAGCCTATCCCCCCGCCCTATGGATGTGCACTCACCCCATGGTACTTGCTGAGTCTGTGTGTCTCTTCTTTCTGCATTGAGTCTCTTTTGTCCAGGTGATAGGAACTCCGTGTATGTGGTCATAGAGCTGCGTTGACCAAACCCACACGGGCTGAGTAGGGCTGTTGTCCATGTCTGACGATTGACACGTACCAGAGGACTAACGCTCCTAAGGACCGGTACAGACCGGCGGGCTGCTCATTGTGGCATGGTTGGCCCAAAATCCGAGTTATGGGCTGCACAACCGGTTGTCTCTCTTGAGAGGACTTGCTGATTGCGTCGTTCTGTTTGCGACGTTAAAGAATTCCTGAGGAGTTATGGGGGATCTCCTTAAATGCCTCCTGATCAGCAGTGAAGTCCTATGGTGACAGCCATAGCCATAGGTCTAGGCTAGAGACCCTATTTGACAGGGTTCTGAACCGGAGTGAAAGCCAGGTGGGTTGACCACAGGTGCACGGCATCTGGGTTGAGGATTGTAACGGACAGTGGTTGCGAAAGCTTCCGTCGGCTGTGGTAACCTGGCTGGAACAAAGGGGAGGACTTTGTGGTCCATAGAGAGTCAGTCAATTAATTAGTCAGTCAGTGGATGGAAGTCTAAGTGGTGAGGAGTGAAACTGTCACTTGGTTGTGCACCTTTCACCATGGTGGACCGGTGAAGCAGTACGAGCACCACCCCGTGTACTAAGGCTCAAGAAGAGCAATTCGCGGCCCTGTTAAAAGAAAGAAAAGAGAAAGAGGCGAAGAGGGAGTTGATTAAGCAGGCCAAGAAGTTGGCCTTATTGGAGGAGCAGGCGACGAAGAAGGAAAAGTTGGAGGAGTAGATGGAGAGGTTGAAGAAAGAAGAAGAAAAACTGAAGGCAGTGGAAGAAGAAGAAGAAGAAGTAAAGGAAGAAGTCCCCTTGGAAAGAAATGTTAGAAGAGAACGAGGGGAGTTGAGCGGCATGAAGAAGGAAGATCAGTGGACGAAGAAGAAGGTTTGAGAGGAAGAAGCGATGTTGTATGTCCCCAGGACAGAACAGGAGGTGGTGACAAGGGATCTGGAGGTAGAGGAAAACCCCCTACGCCGCCAGACAATAGAAGAAGAAAAGTTGGAATGAAAGTTGCGCCTCACAAGAGATGAGAGGCAACGACTGGAGGCGACAGATAAGATGGAGAAGGAGTTTAGGGTGATAGATAAGGCAGATGGAAAGCCAGGCGGACCTTCAAGGAAAAATGGAAATCATGGCAAGGAACATAGAACTTCTGGCGAAGGCCCAGCAGGAACAATATCAGTTTGTGAGGGGTCAGGATATAGCCTTACAGTCCATACGCCTGGGCTTTAGAGAGTTTGCACGAGAGATGATGATGCATGTGGGCACAAAGATGAAGGCGAGGACAGAAAGTACGGAGCGATTCTGCACAGGCACCATAGAAGGCGCGGAGCTTGCTGCTCCAAAGGATGAGGAAGCCCGTCCCCGTAGAGAGCCAGTGAAAGTGAAGTTCCCTGACTCCTACAGTGGGAAGAAACGGGAGAACTTCGACAATTGGGAGGCGAACATTAATTCTTACATTCACCTCCAAAAGATCTTACCTGAGG